TCTCCTACTCGCAACATCGATCGATCAACACAAACATTTCGCGAATATAATAAAATCCCGTACGGAATAAGTATACGTACACGAATACCATCAAAATCTCGTTACGGATACGTTAACAAACAATTATGCCTATGAAAAAAAAAATAACTCAAAAAGAGGTGATAGATCAAATCCTTAGTCCCGAAAAAAACCAGCCCCGTTTTTTTTTTTCTCGTCTGGTTTCTCAAGAAACTAAAGGATTATTTCAATGTGTAGATTTTTCCTCCCTTCGAAATCAATGTGTTCTTTTTTTCCTTACGAAATATATTTCGACCAGGTCGATTTTTTTTTTATTGTTCTAAATTTAGCATATGGGCATTTTAACAAACACCTTGGGGACAAATGGATCATAAATCATGTCAACCAATGGCACAAAGCTATGGTTGGACGATGATTATCGATTATCGGGATCTCGATATATATATAGATATACATACACGATATATATACGTATATATATATCAATTGTAAATTGAAACAAGTAACAATGGCATTCTATCTGTACAATAGAACCACAGCAGTGTATATATATATATGATAAATTTCTACAGTTGTAATTTGATAATAAAGAGTTATTAAGCCCTTTTAATTACCTGTTTTACTCTCTATTTATTTTATGTAATAAAAAAATAAAACACTTTGTAAATTAAAAATAAATTTTAGTCAAACATTCTTTTAATAGCTGATTAAATAGATGGTTTCATGGTAGAGTTATAAATGATATACCAAAAAAAGAATTAAATAAAAATAGATAAAGAATTTGGAACAATTACAATAAAGTCCCTATTGCATGGTTTAGTTTGTAAACAAGTCCGTTAATAAATACACACTAGTGCACTACATCCTTATTTTTCATATTTCATACACATAATATTGATGTTACAAAGTCTGAAATACCCCTTACTTTTACTTGAAAATCGAACATTGCTTGATTTCACCAAAACATAGGTCCAATGTTTTATTTATCTATGAGGACTAGGATTGTTCATGGGTCGGTTTTACCCGACAACCGGAGCATTGTCTGTCCAATTATTATGGCCGATAATTGGCCATCAACTAACTTGTGTAGGTTGGGTCGGTAATTTAACCGACCCATGTATAGTTGTGTCGGGTATAGTTTCTAATATGTTACAAAGTCAGTTGACCGAGATTATTCAAACAACCGACCTTTTTTTTTTTAATTTTTTTTTATTTACCTCTGTTCGTGTTTTGACGGACAATTTGAAGATTTAATTTTTGACTTTTCGATGAAATGAATGAAAGTACAAAACCTAAACCTCACTCTTTATTTCCCCTCATCCGAGTCTCGTCGCTCTCTATCAACCACAGTCGACGCCATATCTCTCTATCATCAATAGTTGCCGATGTATCTCTCGTCTCTCTCTATCAGCCCATTGCCGCCGGCACGCTGTTGCTTAGCTTCCTTCAAATATTTACCTCTAGCCCTCTCCAGTTATTTTCTAAGCTCAAATGTACGGTTTTTCTTTTTGTTTCTCAAATTAAAATTTGTGAATTTCAGCATTTTGTGTTGTGAAAGTGTGAATGGCTGAAAGTGATTCGTTTTAGTACCTTGTATTGATTATGGAATTTTAATTTGTAATAATATGTGATATTGTTGAAACTTGATTTTGGGCATGAAATAATGGAATGTCAGTTGCTGAATTTTAATAATGAATAACATAAAATCTATATATATTTTTTGAAATGGACGATAGTTTTCAACCGACCTGTTTCGATAACCGATAAAGTTGATTTTCAACCATTACTCAACTCACAATAGTCGGGCTGATAATGATTTTACATATTTGCAAGAGTCGATTGGTCGTGGTGGACCGATAATCAACCAACACGACTCAGACCATGAACAAACCTAATGAAGATTGACCATTGAATTAAATTCTACAATTAAGAGTTTAATGTAATGGTCCCAAATAATTTCTGCATACATATTCCACTTAAAAGATTAAAACTCAAAATTTTATAAAAAAGTAAAATAGTAATAAATAAATAAAAACTTAAAAAAAATAATAATAACATTTTGCAAAAAGCCCCCCTACAAATTAAATAGTCAACAAAGGGGTACTGAAACATTTTTTTATTTTTCAAGTCTAAAAAAAAAAAGAAGAGGGAGAAATTTCATACGAAAAAATTGGTTGCAAATTCATACAAGCAAAAGCAAAACGAAGAAAGTAACGCATACGTAATCTAATCTCCCAAAAAAAATCCCCAATTATCTAAGCCCTAATCTCGTCTGTGATTGCGTACATTCGAAGAAGACGAATATGAAGATCGAAGAGCGAGAGTTATTCCGATTCCGAATCCAGAACTGAGATTCGGAATTGAAAGCATTAACCGGCGTTTGGGTGGTGGGGCGCTAAGAAAAATTTCACACCCCCTCCATCCACAATTAAGAGAAAAAAATGATAGAGTGGTTGAAGCAATTGCGGATCGCGTTTGGTGCGTCGTTTTTATGGCTGGTTTGCTTGATTTACTTCACCCAGGTTTCCCCATTTCTGTACTCCCCTTTTCGAATTTCCTTAATTTGATTTATTTATTTGATTGTTTGTTTGATGTGATCTTTTTGGTTGAGTTTGAAGTGAAGTTGAGGGGATTAGGCGTTTGGGGGTTTTGGATTTGTATGAATTGATGGCAATCTTCGAGTTTTATTTCATGTACAATTTTGTGTCCAGGAGGTTTTTATTCGATTCAGGTTTTTTGCTATGATCTTTACTTAAGAATTGGTGAGTAGTTTATGATTATGAGTGGTTTTAACAGTCGTGTATACTGAGGTTGACTGGTATTAATTATACATGCTCGATTCGTGGATTATTTGCTATGATCTTTAAGCAAAAGAATCGGTGACTAGTTTATGATTATGGGTGGTTTTAACAGTCCTGTATACTATACTGAGGTTGACTCGTTTCAATTATACATGCTCGATTCGTGGATTATTTGCTATGATCTTTAAACAAAAGAATCGGTGACTAGTTTATGATTATCGGTGGTTTTAACAGTCGTGTATACTGAGGTTGACTGGTTTCGATCATACATGCTCGATTCAAGGGTTTCACAATGTTTAGCTGCCTGCATTGTGCCCCGTCAAGCTTATTTCGTTTCTATGTCGTAGAGTTACCATGCAACATATATTGGAGTTATTTGTGCAATTAGCTCTATATAGTTTGACGAAATGTTTTACATGTACATTTTTCTCCATCGATCTAGTCACCTCTTTCTCGGTTATCTATGATTTGACGCTGCCTATACTCAAATTTTCTTCACAGAAATGTAGTCGTTAAGCTTTGCTTGCACATAACTAAATCCCCCACTTTCTTGGAAAAGTTTATCTTATGTTAACTTTACGGTAGAAAATATTGGGTGCAAATGTTCTGAACTTCACCTCTGGATGTAACATGGAATAAAGAGATAATGTAAATAATTTCAATGTTCACCATCTCGACCATCTTCTGAAGATTTCTCACTCTTTTGATGCTTACAATGTGCTTTTTTTTTTTTTTCTTTTTTTTCTTGTTTTCTCTGCAGTTATTTGTCGATTATAAAATTTTACATTTGATCTTACGTGACTCTATTTGACCAGGGTTTCAGATCATTCGTATGGACTGCGGTTTCATACCAGCTAAAAGACAAGCTAAATCTATCGCCCGCAGCATCTCAGTTTGTGACGTCAGTAGCCTTTTTCCCATGGAGTATCAAACCACTATATGGGTATTCTTCTAACTATGTTTCCATTGAGATAGTTATTACCATGCAAATATGAAATTTATTTTATTCGGTATACACCAATTTTCATCTGCTTAAAGAAATCTCGGAAAAGGAGAAAGAAAAAGAAGAGCAATGTCACGATCTAGACACCCAATCTACTAAGAGTTTATGCCTCATTCAAGTTTTTTTTTCCCTTTAGTAAGGATTGGAAAAATCATAAATCACTAAATGCTACAATTGGTTAAGAAGTAGCAATTTAAAATAATAAATCCGTTATTCGTTTTTTCTACAGTTTGACATAAGCAGATTCTCATATATTAGTTCTTTATCCTTCTCCATTTCTCCTACAATTTAATCATTAAGATCCATTTATTCTATTGGGCATAAATAACGTGGAAGCCTTATTTTATTTGCAGAATCTTATCGGATTGCGTACCAATTCGAGGACGAAAAAGAGTTCCTTACTTAGTAATTGCAACATTGCTTTCCCTTTTCCCGTGGCTTATCTTGAGCATTAATATAGCCTCGAGGAGCTCTAAAGTGCCTTTCATGGTTTTTTTGACTGTCCAAAATCTGGGCTCCGCTATGGCTGATGTTGTGATTGATGCCATGATAGCCGAGGCTGTAAGACTCGAGAGGTAAAAATCTTCACAATAGAGCATGCACATATTTTTTATATATTGATTTTTTTAAATATACTGAAGAATGAATGATATCAGGCTAATGAACGAGGCTGGACTTTGCTTTAAAACAAACTATATCTGTTTTTCTTTCTTTTTTTTTTTTTTAACCAAGGAATTGATCTTTGTTGCTAAATACCCAAGTTTTTGCATTGGTTTGTTCTAATGATGAAATTCAGTCATATAGACTAACCCTTTTAGTTGGTTGTTATTTGGCATGATGATAGCCCGTATTAGCTCTGTTAAAGTATATATCCCATATCGTAAAAAAATGTATCATAAGTTTATTTAGTTCAGTGAAGAAGTCAACTGAAAATCCTATGCTTATATGTCTTTTGTTTTTTAGCTGCTCAAAACACGAATTAAGGTCTTACGATTAATTTTCTCTCGAACAGGGCCTCTTTTGCTGGCGATCTTCAGTCTATATCCTGGATGGCTATGGCTTTTGGAGGAATATTCGGGAGTTTAATCGGGGGATATGCTCTAACTAATTTACGAATAGATCAAATATTTTTATTTTTTTCGGTATTACCAGCCATACAGCTGCTTTCATGTGGTTTAGTTGAGGAAAGTTCTGTTATCAGTGAAGTTTCTCCTGTAACAAATGGAGGCTCCCTCTCAATAAATGGCAGAAATGCCCCTGAAGATACTTTGAGGATCAAGAACAATAGTTCTACTGATAATTCTAAAAACAAGAACTTGAGGCGAAAGAAGAGCCAGAAAAATGAAGAACAAGGGCCCACAACTGTAACAAAATCCCAGGTTAATGAAGTTGAGAAATCTTTTTCAACAAGATGGCTTCGTTCCTTCAAAACGGCCACGTATTCATTGTTTAAAGCTTTTCGACAGCCAATGATTTTGAGGTAAAAAATTCTGATGGGATTCGTTTAAAATATATTTACGTATAAATTGAAGTGATCTTTCAGTTGAAATGTCTCCCTTTGACTGCTCAACATTCGATTTTTGTTTATCGCAAACAAAATGAATGCATAAGAATAGTGTGTTAAATGCTTATTTCTTGAAGACATACTCAAAATTACGTGCTGATTTGAATACAATTAGTTGCCAGTTGTGAATTTGTCAAGGTGATCTATAATTAACTTGTGGAAAAGCCTGGTAATAATAAACGACGTGTGAGTGGAGGGTTACAACTTACATACATACATGTTTATTCACAATTTTATGCTTCATTTCAAAAGTACAAATGTATTTAACTTTTGTTTTTTGTTCTTTCTTGTTTGTGGTGTGTGTAAACTAATGATTGTTTTATTATGGGAAATACAGGCCTATGACTTGGTTTTTTCTGGCACACGTGACTGTTCCGAATCTCTCCACAGTGATGTTTTATTACCAGACGGAAATTCTCAAACTGGAAGCTTCCTTTTTGGGGACGACACGTGTTGTCGGGTGGTTGGGCCTCATGCTTGGAACCCTCGTCTACAATCGCTACTTGAAGAAAATGAAACTACGCAAAATCCTCTTGTGAGTTTGGATCTTCTTTTTTTACCCGTAATTTGATCGACTTTTTTGCTTATATATTTAAAAAATTATTATTCAGGTTTGCTCATATTGGCTTGTCCCTTTTGACTCTTCTTGATGGAGTTCTCGTTTCAAGATCGAATCTTTCACTAGGCATACCCGATAAAGTTATGGTGCTCTTCGGATCAGCTCTCTCAGATGGGGTCAATCAATTTAAGTACGTAATGACAGTTTTACTTAAATAATAAAAAAAAAAATTCAAATGAAATCAATATTGAAATCTTGATCAATTTTTTATTTTGCAGGTTTATGCCATTCCTTATATTATCAGGGCAACTTTGCCCACCTGGCATTGAAGGGACTTTATTTGCACTCTTTATGTCTATAAACAATTTTGGTTCGACTGTGGGATCGTTTGTAGGTGCTGGGCTTGCTTCGATTCTTAATATTTCATCGGGGAATTTCGACAATCTTTTCTTGGGAATTGTTATTCAAGTACTGTGCACGTACATTCCGGTTGTTTTTCTGTTTTTGATACCGAAAGAAGCTACCGGAATATCGGCGTAGAATTTAGAGTTATTTAGGTGATACAAGAAACTTGGAGTTCTCCAATATAGATACAGTCATACAGAGATCAAACTAGGAATATCTATACTTACATTGAAAGGGTATTATTGGAATGATATTTTTTGTCCTCTCTAATACAGAGTTGTGGATTAGTATGAATTTTACTTTTGTCATTCGTCAGAATGAAATGACAAATTGAATGTTGTTTCATGATCTTGATTTGTTTCGATTTGAATTCATTTTTATATTTTTTTTTCTCCATGATTAGTTCGCTCGACAATTTCGCACTATAAATGTAAAAAAAGATGTGCCGAGCGCATACAAATACGAACTAGAGGTGGAAATTGGAGGGAAATTTTTGAATTCTGTCGGTTTTGGATAAAACAAAATCGAATATGGAACAAGTTTATATTTACTTCGATTATTTTTCTTCTTTCAATATTTGGAGAAATGTCGAATTTACATATTTTTGATTTTCGAAATTAAAATCTAATTTTAACTTTCAAAATGAATCAAATAAAAAAAATTGAATACAATTGATTTGATTGGTTCATCCAATTTAATCCATAAATATACAAATTGTGATGTATTTTGTACATATATCATGTAAGTTTTGTTCATATAACATCAATTTGCCATATAAAATCCAATTATATTTAATGATAAATTGAAAATAAACCACATAAAAATGAAATAAAAAACAATAATCGTTATTTAAAAGTGATTTCCAAATGAAAAAAGGTCTGGAAGAAGCAAAAAGTAGAGTGGATATAATAATTAAAGCAAGCTTGCTTCTGAAATGAGTTATTTCCAAATAAAAAAAGGTGTGGAAAAAGCAAAAAATAAAGTGAATATCAGAGCCAGGTTTCGATCCTGGGACCTGTGGGTTATGGGCCCACCACGCTTCCGCTGCGCCACTCTGATTTTTGTTGATAATCAATACAACAAAACTTTATTTCTACTAAAAAGTCAATCTCTATCACCCAAAAATCAGAATTGAAAGATTACTGTGAAAAGCTTCAACCGAATTTCAACGGATCGATCCGAACGAAAAAGTAGTGAAGAATCAATCAGAACATCGATCGGAATGAGGCGGAGGCCGGGAATCGGAGGTTTACAGAACGCCGCCGCCGCTAGGGTTTCTCGCTTACCCCATTTCCCTCTCTTGATATTCATATATGCGCATAATTTGTTCGTCGTGGGTGAATTAATTTAAATTATGTGTGTTATTTGTTAATGAATGAAAGGATCAATACCGACTGCTTGGAGAAAATGTGGCGAAATTGCGAACAGATCTCATGAAAGAACAGCTCTCCACTTTTCGTTCTCAGTTAGAAGACTTCGCCCGCAAGCACAAGGTCTTTTTTTTTTAACCTAGATAATTATTTCTGTCATTTGATGGGTTTTACGCAGGATTAAAATCAAATTAAAGAATTAATTAGTTTTTAGTTATAATCGAGCTTGAGTTCTGAAGATTCATAAACCGCAATTTTTTCGAAGAAGAATCAACATTTGGTCATCAATTTTGGAAAGAACTATGATTGAAAAAATAAATAAGATTTTGTCTAGTTTGAGATGGATTTGGTTTAGCTGCAGTTGAACGTATCGCACTTGAATAGCTCGAACGAAAAGATGGGAAAATGCGTATTTTCTTGGTTGCTAATATGGTTGTTGGATTTTGTATATAATTTTGGGATTCGGAACTAGATGACTATCGAGCGTATAGTGCTTTTCGTTTTGGTTAGATCATATTTTCGGAAGTATATGAGTACAATCAATGTACGAGAAGCTAAGTATATTCATAAGAGGGCAAAAATCCTCGTTTTTTTTTTGCACAAACACAATAGAATAAGTTTAAATCTTTGAGATACGGAATTCCTCGTCGCCTTTCATATAACGGTAGAGATTTGCAGTTTCTAAGTACCGTACACTCTCTCGGTATATACCTTCGTATTAGTTTCTCAAATTGAGATTTTCTTTTAATTTCTTTGTGCAGAATGACATTCGCAAGAACCCGGCATTCCGATCGCAGTTCCATGAGATGTGTGCGAATGTCGGAGTGGATCCTCTGGCCTCAAATAAGGGTTTCTGGGCTGAGTTGTTAGGGATCGGTGACTTCTACTACGAACTCGGTTAGTACCGGAATCTTGGTTTTTGCTTAATCGCTTGTAATACGTCCTCTGCCACTTTTCTGATTTTGACACGTACTCGGTTGGACCACCTTGGTTTGATTTATTTCTTCGTTGCATTTTCTGAGTCGTGTATCAAGATTGCCGTTTGCCCTTTCTCTCTCTATCTCTCTCTTTTTTTTTCCTAATCAGAAACTGATCGATCTGTCTAGACAGGAGTACAAATTGTCGATATTTGCTTGGCAACTAGACCACTCAACGGAGGTTTAATCAGCTTAGAAGAACTGTGTAAAATGCTCGGTCAAAGGAGGAAGGGGGCCCGCGAGGCTATTTCTCAGGATGATTGTTTACGTGCCATAAGTAAGCTGAAGGTACAATTCGTATATCGATCTTCGATATTAATTATAACCACACTTTAGTTATTGACTCGATCTTTGATGATATTGATCTCTAAAATCTGGTTCACTTTTCGTTCGATCTCTGTATGCGCGTGCTATTTTTTTTTTCGCCTCGTTTTTTCTAATATGTAGTAACACGTGATACCACTTAAAGCTCGATCGTGTTTCAGCCAATTAAAAAAAATATATTAAAACTCGTTTTCCAGGTGCTCGGTAACGGTTTTGAGGTTATTTCTCTCGGTAAGAAGAAGCTCGTTAGATCTGTTCCTACAGAACTGAATAAAGACCACAATGAAATCCTAGAGCTGGCTCAGGTTTCCCGTTTTTTTTATTTACGTAAATTCTATAACGACGTTTTTAAAACGATGATTTTGCCTTACCGTTTCTTTTTTTCACCACAGGGACAAGGTTTTGTGACGGTTGACGAAGTCGAGAGACGGCTCTCTTGGTCTTCTGGACGTGCAACAGACGCCCTCGAAACTTTATTAGAAGTAATATTTTTTTATTATTATTATTTCTTATTAAAATTAGATGTTTGATTGTTGAGAATTCAATACGAATATTTAACGAGCTTTCTAATTTTTTTTTTTTTTTGTTCGGTTAATACGTTACAGGAAGGTCTTGCCATGATAGATGATGGTCACAAAGATGGTAAACGTCGATATTGGTTCCCCTGCGTATCTTCCATCTCTTCGTACGCAGCAACCGATAATATTTAAGGTTTCGTCAATTATGTATAATTATTGTATTTATGGTTAGAAAATACTCTTTTGCAAATTTTGTTGGACTTTTTTTTTTTAATATTTTATTTTTCTATATGTGGGATATATTTCATTTCTTCAAGTCTGCTGCTACATTTTGAGGTTAATTAATTGCGTAGGGGTTAAATTAAAAATATTTCATTTTTCATACTATTACATACATATATACACACCCATATTCATGTGTATTCATGTGTATACGTGTGAATTTGTATAATTATTTGATGGGATGTTAGATATACTTCACCAAATGTAGCATATACATATACAAGATCATTGTAAATACAAATAAAAACTTGTATTATTTATCCCAAAACAATTCCAAAAATTGTTAACTCTACTTCAAACACGATTTGACTGCTATTAGTAAAATAGACAAGCAACAATTTATGAGTTTATGTTTCGACTTTTTTTTTTTTTTTTTCTTTTCTGAAATTTATTTTCGAGTAAATTACGGCCACTCAACTGAAGTAAGGTCAAATTACAAGAAAAAAATCACCCAACTGAAGTAAGGTCAAATTACAAGAAAAAAATCACCCTTCTCAACTATGTATTTTCTTACACGTTCACTTTTATTACAATGTCAAATTTACGTACTGAAAGATGGGTTTTTTCGTAATACAATACAGAGTTGAGCGGGTTGGTTGTATTATCCAAACCAGAGGGGAGTTTTCGCAATTTGACCTTACCTAAGGGGATGACCGTAATTGGCCCTATATTTTTTTCAATGCTTTTAGAATATAGACGATCCTTACTTTCATTCTCCACTCAAAATATATTTTATCGAAACGAAATGAAAAATAAGCTTCAAAACGCTTTCAAACATTGTCTACGAATTTCTGTCAAACTAAATTTAGTACAACAAGCAAACAAGATTATTCAAGATAATCTAAGATTTCATGTCAAACTAAATTTAGTACAACAATTTTGAAAACAAACAAGATTGTTCCAATTAGACACAATTCTATTGAGCTTGAGGTCAAATAATAAATCTAAATATATGAAATAAATCTCAAATTTAATATTCTATCATTCCAACAAAAGGTCAAGTTGTTTTGAAGGGTAGGAATTGAATTAGTTTTTCTTTTGCTGTAAATAGAATTGCAATTAAACTCTTTATGCTACAGCACAGTTACACTATTAATTATTTGCCATTCTAATTTCATATTTTTGTTTTTATTTTAATTTTATAATAAAAAGATTGCTAAAACAGTCGATGTCATAAATTTAAAATCCCGTGTGTCAATTGACCAAAAGTCGAATCCGAGTTTGTCACACATGGTTAGCATAGTGTGGTTTACATCTGTTTTGTAAGTTATTATACGATTGTGTAGGTTTTTCTGTGCACCTAAATAAGGTAAAAATGATGACGTGGACTAAATAAACATTCAAATTTACTCAAAAAAAAAAAAAAAAACATTCAAATGAAACCATTCCGAATTTGTTTACTTTAATTTAATTTCACCTCTTTTAATTCCCTTTTCAACCAATAAAACCACAATATTCAAAGAAAAACAATTTCTATACTCCCTCCCAATTTAATTTTTTTTTTTCATTTTTTGGTTTGACATTTTCTTCAAACTCCCTATAAATTAGGAGCTCTAAACCATTTATTTCCAACCCCCAAGATTTCTCTTTCCTCTTTAATTTTATCTCTCTTCCATTAAAAAATCCTCAAATTAAAATAAATAAATAAAATTAAAATTAAGAAAATATCCAAGATTTTAAATTATTATTATTTAAATAATTCATATGGCTGCAGAAATAGAGTTTCAACAGAAAAAATCAGCCATAATTAAGCCCTCACCACAACAAGAAAATCAAGAAAGTTGGCAAATCTCCACCTGGGCCCACCGTGCATGGTTCACCAGCGGCTGCGCCGCCGTGCTGCTTTCTCTCTCTAAATCCGTACTACTAACCGCCGGCGCTTCCACATGGTCATGGCTGCAGCCCACGTTCGCCGCCTTTGTCGGCTACGTGGCGGCGGACCTAGCCACCGGAATATACCACTGGGCAATTGACAACTAAGGCGGCGCCGCCACCCCCATCTTCAGGACCCAAATCGACACGTTTCATAGCCACCACCGCCACCCGTCGACGATCACCAAGCGCCAACTCGCCAACAACCTCCACATTCCGGCGGCTTTCGTGACAGCGGCGGCTCTCCCTGTGAACGTAGTCTCCGGCGACCCGGTTCTCCTGGCTTTCGCCGGCGCGTTCGCGGGCTGCGTCATGTTCAGCCAGCAGTTCCACGCGTGGGCGCACGCGCCGAAGTGGAAGCTGCCGCCGGTGGTGGCGGCGCTCCAGGACGCCGGAGTGATCCTCGGCAGAGCCCAGCACGCGGCGCACCACCGCCCCCCGTACAACAGCAATTACTGCATCGTGAGCGGAGTGTGGAATAGGGTTTTGGATAAAACGAAGTTCTTCACCGCGGCAGAGGTGGTGGTGGAATGGGTGGCTGGGTACCGGCCCCGGTCGTGGAGCGAGCCCAACTCCGGCTGGACCCAAAAAGAGTCAGCTCCAAGCCATTAATTAATAAATGAAATTATTATTTTTATTATTTAAGAAAATATATTGTCATTTAAATAGCCTAAAATAATGTTGTGCAATTATTAATTAGCCATATTGTATTATTTCTAACATCCATATATAACTATTAATGATTTTAATGTGTTTCAAAATATTAAAGGACACTAATTTAAAATGAATGGAGTAAACATCTAATTATATATTATTATTATTATTATTATTATTATTATTATTATTATTATTATTATTATTATTATTATTATTATTATTATTATTATTATTATTATTATTATTATTATTATTATTATTATTATTATTATTATTATGGTAAATTACTACCACACCCCTGATGTATGGTCAATTTACAAAAAAAACTCATCTTGTTTGGATAATTACATCTACCAAACTATGTTTTTTTCTTACATCTCCACCCTTGTGGTGTCAAATTCAACTTAACCATCTAAATTCCGTGAAATATGCTCTAATTTATACTCGTTTGTGTAAAAATACAGTTTTCAATACTTCGATTATTAAACGTGTGATTCCTTAAGGAAGAGCTCAGACCGAACGGTGCTGATTTGAACATTTAAATTCCTAATCGATAATACGGGTTCTTGATTGATTGTAACTTATAAGAAAGTGACTTTTATTAATCCGAAACCTGGCTCCAATCGGAGCCGGGCTCGGACCACGACCGCGGCCTCACTCCGGTGACACGGAGCACCACCGCCTCCGCCGCCGAGAAGAACTTGTACTCATCCAAGACCCTGTTCCAAACCCCACTCACCGTGCAGAAATACCCGTCGAACGGCGGCCGGTGGTGCTTCACGTGGTTTGACCACGGCAGAATGACTCCGGCGTCCTGTAGCGCCGCCACGACACGCGGCAGCCTCCTCCTCGGCGTGTGGGCCCACGCGTGGAACTTCAAGCTGAACATGACGAAGCCGGCGAACGAGCCGACGAGCACGAGCAGAACCGCGTCGCCGGAGAGCACGTTGAACGGCAAAACGGCGAAGGCCGTCGCCGCCGACACTACATACAGAACTCCGGCGGTGTCGCACTTGATGATGTCCGCCGGGTGCTGGTGGTGGGCCCGGAACGACTCGATCTGGGACCCGAAAATGGGGGTCTCGGCGCCGCCGTAGTTGTCGATGGCCCAGTGGAATATTCCGGAGCCGAGGTCCGCCGCCACGTAGCCGATCAAGGCGGCGAGGGTTAGCTCCACCCATGTCAATGGACCCACCGGAGATGCGGCGATTATTAGTAGGGTTGACTTTGCTATGGAGATGAGCAGCGTGGCGCAGCCACACGCGAACCAGGCGCGTTGACCCCACGTCGACTTGTACCGGCGGCTTTCGTCTTTAATACTATTAATGGAAATGTTGTTCTGCTTGGCCGCCATTGTTGTTGTATATATCTGTGTATATGAATTCTCCTGCCATCAATACATATATATAATATAAAATATAATATAATATTTTTGAAAAAAAATATTATTTGTAGAGTAGGGTGTATTATGTATATACTATAAGATTTCAAAATAATATTATAACAATTGAACAAACATATGCAATTCTTAGATTTTTTTATTTAAACATGTTTTGAATTTATTTTGGATAGACAATACCATTCTATTTTTTCATTATAAATAGAAATTAAACGTTCTCGAAACTTTTAATATATTTTTTAAAATGGCCTCAAAACATTTCGAACAGGTTCCCTTAGGGTTAGGCATTAATCGGTTTTATTGGTCAACCTATTCACTTTCGACTGTCCTTTCGGCTGATAATTTTGTTGTCGGGCTGGTAATTTAAATCGATCCATATATAAATGGATCGGTCGGTGGTTTTCAGTTTACTCAAAAGTCGGTTGATTGGGTAATATCGACCAACCGATATTTTTAATAATTTTTTATTATAAATATTTAATTGTAATTTCTTATTTTTTCTAATATTAAAATAATATATAAAAGAGATAAAAACTCAAAACACAAATTTATAAATCTCTCCATACTATTTCCATTTTTTAATTCTTATTTCATATTCTTCATTGTATATTTACTTATTGTAGTAGTTTAGTAAAAATAAAAAACTTTTAATTTTAAAGTTATTTTTTTTTACTAACATTAACTACATAAGTTTTCCAATAATAAAAATTATTGAATATCTTTTGAAAAAAACTTTTATTACTGTAAAAAGAAATTAAATAGAATTAAATATTAAATTAAATTAAAAAGAAATTAAATAGAATTAAAAATTAAATTAAATTAAATTAATAAATTGATGGCCAATAATACCAACTAAGCACAAACTATTTACCCGCTAAAGTCGGTTGTCAATCATTACCCAACCCATAATTATCGGGCCGGTAATGATTTTCAATATTCAACAAAATCGGATAGATAATTGGCTGACAATTACCCTATCTGACCCATGCCCAACCCTAGGTGGTAGGTACCATAGCGTTTCAGTTTAATTCGGTATTAATCATTCAAAGTTGTTTAAATGTTAATTAAGCTAATTAAAAGAATTTAATTATTCCTTTCCCTATAAAAAAATAAAATAAAAATAGACTTATGGCCGTGGGTTTCAGGGCATTGGAAAAAGAAGGAAATCATTTATAATCATTAATTAAGTGGGTATATCATTTAAAATAAACTTTTGACTTTGCTTTAATTTGTTCTTCAGTTTCTCCATCTTTAATATCGATATAAAATCAATCTTTATCCTTATCTCTAAATATACTCCATCCGTTACGTTGTAATTGTTGTTTTTTTAGTTTGCACAAAAATTAAGAATTTAATTAACTTTACCATTATTTTAATGAGCATAGGTGTAGCTCATTTTCCTTTATTAGGGAGAGACCCATCTTTTTTTTTTATTCTCAAATTTACCCTTCCTCTATTCACTACCTATTATACCATACTTTGATGCATTTTTTATTTTTATATTTTAATTTTAATTTTCATTTTTTTTTTATTTATTTCTTATTTAAAATAAATATTTTTAATAACTTTCTATTATATATTTTAAAAATAGTTTTTTAGTGTATTTTTTGTCTTCAGTTAAAACAACTATATCTCAATAAAACAACTATTATTAAAACAACTACGGTTTAAAACAACTATATTAAACAACTGTTATTAAAACAACTATATATCTCCAACTCATTTATCAAAATCAACTATTTGTTAAATTAACTATTTATTAATATCAACTAAAAGGTAGTAAAAACAACTATATTGCTCTACGAAAACAACTATATGATTGTACGAAAACAACTATATGTTTATAAATAACACCAACACAATTTCAACAAAAACAAACATTCATTATACTATTGATTGAACACAAAATTAGCCTTCAATATAAGAATTCAACCAAAATCTCCAACTAAGATATAAAAAAAAATCAGAGAAGAAGAATTACAACAATCAAATAATGTTGGCGGTGGTCTCTATTAAAATTTCAGACGCAATATCAACCCTAGCACCACTGTGTAGTCTCGTCATTCTCCCTATCGAAAACCCTAACGCCGTCCTTGACGAGAGAATTCCATGGGTGGAGACCGCCTTCTTTTCACGACGGTGGAGGTAGGAACGCCCATGAAAGAGAGTAGACGACGGCGGAGACAATTGATCTACTGTCGATGAAGTCGTATTGCCTCTTTAGATCATCGAGAATTGTAGCGGCGGCGGGATCGCAGATCCGGAGTCGAAGACGAGCAGTGCCGATAGAGAGGGATCTACAACCAGATTTGTCGCAAGGTTCCGATGTTGTAGTGGCGACGACGCTGTGAAATCGGAGATGGTGGGGGCGGTGGCGACGTCGGCTGAGGCTGAATTTGTGGAAGATGGGGATCTGCGTGAAGAGAGAAAAAAGGGAGGTGAGAGAGTGAAAAGAGAAATAAAATAATAGGTTGAAATGTAGAAATAATTAGGTTAGTTTGAATAGGTGTGGGGTAATATGGGGCATAACAATTAATAATTTAATAAAATATTAGATTTAATTATGATATGGGGGGTTATCACTAATAAAGTAAAAGGGGGTGAATCCCCTCTAATATATCCTAATATATTGGGGGGTTTTCACTAATAATCCTTTAATTAAATGTGTCTTGATTTTAGAAAAAATGTATCTTTTTAAACTAAAATAGTTAAAAAAAAAGTATTGGAAAGAGTTAATACGGGTATAAATTGGAAATTAAGTAATTAATTAAGTGTTAGAAATTTAGGTGATGTTTGCAAATGATTATTTATAAGCAGAAGTTAGTGATTGTGAGTTAAGTCAGTTTTAAGTGCTTATTTCTAAAAGTTGGGGGTGTTTGCAAATATTCCGGAAAATGAACTTAAATAGAAAAAACAGGGTTTGAGGTGCTTTTAAAAAAATAGCTTAAAGCAGATTATTTTAAGAGAAACAAAAGCAAAAGTGGATTTTGCAAATACCTGAAAACAGATTATGAGCAAAAAAAGCTCATAATCACTTTCAAAAAGCGTTTGCAAACACCACCTTAAAGCAGGGCCGGTTCTGAGGAGAGGCGAAGTAGGCGGTCGCCTAGGGCCCCCGAATTTTTACGAAAATTATGGGCCCCCAAATTATTTTATTTACACTTTATATATTAGTACTTATTTTTAAAAAAATAATATATATAATATTTTGGAACATCGATTCTAAAATAAATTAAGCTAAATGATCAATAGATATTTTAGCAATTTTCTTAACTTTGGGGTCCCGAAATATTAAATTTATAATGTCTCAATCACTAATTTTTATTCTAAAATAAGAATCAATATTCATCAGTGTATTCAAGTTTATAAATATTTATGAAGTCTATTTGCTATAAAGAGTATAGTCACTGGAGGAAGTGAACCAGCAAATCATATTGTTAATTTTGAATTTTTTTTTCCCATATTTTTAGCTACTTTATATTCATACATTTCAAAAAATATTTCGGGGCCACCGCCCCCGAACCCCCATAATCTTTTATTTCATCATTTAAAAAAAATATTATTTATACTTTTTAATACATTCAACTTCGAACACCCATTAATAAAAAAAAGGGTAATTACAACCACTCCTGAGGTATGGTTAAATTACAAACCCCCGAACCCCCATAATCTTTTATTTCATCATTTAAAAAAAATATTATTTATACTTTTTAATACATTCAACTTCGAACACCCATTGATAAAAAAAAGGATAATTACAACCACTCCTGAGGTATAGTTAAATTACAAAAAGCCCCCTCTTGTTTGGGTAATTACAACCACCCCTCAACTATAAATCTTCTTACACGTCCACCCTTGCGGTTTCAAATTTAGTGGAGTTTCGAGATTTTATGGAATACTATCACTTTTTTTACCCGTTTTATCCCATTCGAACTCCACATTTTGAAGCAAGATGATAATAATATGTGTTTTTTGGCTTGTATACAGATGGGGGTGCATCAGAAACTGTATTTTTACACAAAACGAGTACAAACTAGAGCACATTCCACGACATCTAGATGATTATGTTGAATTTGACATCATAAGGGTGAAGATGTAAGAAAAAATCATAGTTGAGCAGGGGGTAGATGTAATTATCCAAAGAAGATGAGTTTTTTCGTAAATTAACCATACCTCAGGAGTAGTTCTAATTTACCCGATAAAAAATATTAAATCAAATAGGGGCCCCTGTTTTCAATTGTTCTTTAAACCTCGCCTAGGGCCCTCGAATTCTCAGGAACAGGTCTGCCTTAAAGTATTGTTTTTTAGGTCTAATATACGCTTTAATATTTTAATCAATTATGCAAACAACGTAGTCAATTTACGTCCAGTTTAATCTAGAATTTTGGGAAAAAAAATATAAGGCAAACTAGAATTTCGCGAAAAAACACATGGCGAAGGTTTTCACTAATTATTTCCAAATAGTGGATCCATGTAGCTCGATGCGATTTCAAAATGGGTGGCTTTTCACTAATTGTCCCTTTTTAAAGTAATTATGTTGTTTTATTGGGGATTTCTACAATTCAGAAATTAATTAAGAGGGTCCTAATTGACGCAATTAACGCTCAATTAATTAATTCCTATTTGTGATCAGAGTTACTAAGCTTTCCTGTTTCCAGCTTTTGAAATGTTTAATTAGTATATGAACATGATAACATATATTTCTCATCCAATTTAATGCAGAGCTCATATACAAATTAAATTAGGTTTGGTGGATAATAAATGCAAGTGTTAGAATCCGATTAGATTTCTAATAATTAAAACTTCACCTAACTTAGTTCACAAGTCTTGGAATCGTGTTAGCTAGAAAAATGAAATATTTTCATGTAGGAATTTAAAAAAAAAATTGACTCCCCTGTGAATTATAATACATTTATATATGAACCACGTTAAAATTTGTGTCTAATTTATTTATGTTTATTTACAAATTGTTATAAACGAACTGTTACAACAGTTAACAGAGCAGTTACTAAAATTGAATCAGACATAAATAATAAATATTTACACGAAATAGATCTAACAGTAAGTATTGCATTATAATACATAAATTATTAATTTTTTTGTAAATTATTAATTTTTTTGTAAATTATTAATTTTTTTGGGGGGTTAAATTTCAAAGTTGTTATGTAGGAAATAATAAAGGAGGCAAGTTTAAATCTTTTAAGTTTAGTAGGCAAGATCGTGTATCATTTTTGCATGGGAAGGGTGAGTTGGTTGTTTTCAATTTTAATAATTTAATATATCTCAAAATAATGATTAATTTAATTTTGTTAAGTAGAGTGCCTTTTAGGGGTGTACTCTAAATGGTCTGAGCCGACTTGTGAGCTCGATGAATCAGCCGACTTGTGAGCTCGATGAATCAGCTCGATAGAAGCTCGAATTCGTACTCAAGCCTTAAGACGAACCGAACTTGAGTTGTTTTTTTTTTTTTTTTTTTTTTTTTTTTCCGAGTTGTTCGCGAGCTCACAAGCCGGCTCGCAAACTTTCTTTTTATTTGAAGTATATTTATTTAGGGTTGTCCATGGTTTATAATATGCTAAAAAGTTGGTTAATCGGGTAATATCGGCCAACTAACTTTATTTATTATTTATTAATTTTATTCCTTATCTAATATTGACTAAACTCAAAACACATAAACCTAATTTATGGAGATTAATTATTTTGAAGTATTGAATTCTTGTTCAGTTCATGCTAATTGAGAAACACATAAAATTTTAATATATTGTGTCGTATTTTGCATTTTTTATTTTATGTTAGAACTATTTTAATTTTAAGTCATGTAGGCTGAAATATTTGAATTTATTATAACATTGTTGAACTATTTATGTTTAATTGCAACACATGTAGCTTATAATATTTTGAGTTTTTGAATTAAATATTGTTGAACTAATTATTAATTGTAACAATATAATATGTTTGTAATAAAATATAAAAAAATTGATTTGTTTTAGAAATATAATATTAATTGTAATAATATATATATATATATATATATATATATATATATTACACATGCATTGGACACTTAATAAACCAAAATAAAATTTAAAGTTGTTCAAACAAATTTGATAAATATATATATAAATCAATAATTTATTCAGAGAAATTAATATTATTAATTCAAGAAATAAAAGTGGCTTTTAATCCAAAATCTGGCTCCAATCGGAGCTGGGCTCCGACCACGACCGCGGCCTCACTCCGGTGACACGGAACACCACCACATCCGCCGCCGCGAAGACCTTGTACTCATCCAAAACCCTGTTCCAGACCCCACTCACCGTGCAGTAATTTCCGTCGAACGGCGGCCGGTGGTGCTTCGCGTGGTCAGACCACCGGAGAATGATTCCGGCGTCCTGAAGCGCCGCCACCAGCGCCGGCAGCTTCCTCCTCGGCGTGTGGGCCCACGCGTGGAACTTCAGGCTGAACATGCCGAAGCCGGCGAACACAACCACGAACACGAGGAGGACCGCGTCGTCGGAGAGCAAGCTGAACGGCAGAACGGCGACGGTCGTCACCGCCGCCAGGACGTACAGAACTCCGGCGGTGTCGCACTTGGTGATCTCCGACGGGTGCTGGTGGTGGGCCCTGAACGACTCGATCTGGGGCCCGAAAACCGGCGTTTCCGCGGTGCCGTAGTTGTCGACGGCCCAGTGGAAGATTCCAGAGCCGAGGTCCGCCGCCGCGTAGCCGATCAAGGCGGCGACGGCGAGCTCCAGCCATGCGAGTGGACTGGCCGTCGGCGCTGCGGCGGCGATTAGTAGCGTGGTCTTGGCTAGGGAAATGAGCAGCGTGGCGCAGCCGCATGCAAACCAGGCGCGTTGGGGCCACGTGGACTTGTACCGGCGGCTTTCGTCGGAGTAATTACTAATGCAAATGTTGTTCTGCTTGGCCGCCATTGATGTATCTTTGTTTATGAAATTCTTCTTGGAAATTATTTTAATTTATTAACTGTAAAAAAAGAGAACACAAACACAGCTTTTATAGTAAGATTATATTTTCTTTTCAATTTTGGTCCTCTATGTTGGTTTAATTAGGATCTAGTCCTCTTATGTTGTCATATTTTAGTTTTACAGGCAATAACTTTGCAGATATAACATTTTTTTTTAATCCCATTTTGCTTGAATTTTTAATATTATGACGCGGAAAATAAATTTGACGATTTTTTCTTTGTATGGAAACTAAATTTTCCAAATTCTTCGTATAGCTGGTCTTGATAAAAAGATTATGATGTGAGATGACGAGTTTGTGAACCAAATTAGATAACTTTTAAACATTCGTAGAAGTAAATTTCTACGAGTTTGTTAGCCACGTTATTATATATCATCAGATAAAATAAAAAAAAAATCCAAGCAAAATCGGACAAAGAAAACCTTAAACTTCTAAGGTTATTTACACATTGCCCACACACTCTCTTCCTCGTATTCCTCCACTACGGTTCACATGCGTACTAAATAACTGATGTGTAGCAATTATTTGCGACGAAAGCTAACCCGGAGGTAAGATCGTAGTAAAAAGTATTTGAGACGCTGTTTTACTTTAGTGAAACTTTTGTCACGACCATGTTTACTACAAAAACAAATTTATAGTAAAATCGCAGTGAAATGAATTTTACTGCGAATTTAGGACCTTATGCTTAGAATTCTGAAGGCAGTAAAAATCCATTATTCTACTAGTGTATATTTAGTATTTCTCATAAAGGGCGGAGTTGTAATTATGAATGAATGAGCTAATAAACCTAATATCTTGATTTTTTTTTTTTTTTAAATTATGTAGTGGTGTTTTGTTATTTTATCTTTTTTTTTTTTTTTTACTAATTTTATCCTTAATCTTTAATGTGTGGAGACTATTTAATGAAAAAAAATTCTACTAATTTTATCCGTCAATTAATGTTTAGATAATATTGTTGGAAGTTGGAGCGTTAATTAATAGTACCATATTGAATTATTTAATTGTCAAAATAAAGACTATTTAATTAATGAATTTCTTAATTTATATACATAAACCTTAAACAACAATATTCGGGAAACATTCCTCATTTTCAAGAACTGTGTACACAATTAATCATTGAGGAAAACATTTATTTTTCAATTAATGTTCGTAACAGATTACAGATAAATAATCTATTTCAGTAAAAAGCATAAAATCTATTTATTATAGTAATCTATAATTAAATATACATAAATTATAGTTTACGAAAAATGGCGAGTCCGGGTCAAACCACTGATATTCTTAAACTCAGTTTTTGTCAAATATGATCATAAGAAATTGGGTAAATTACGAAAACCTCCTTTCTATTTGAGTAATTACAGCTACCCCTTCAACTATGTATTAGCTTACGAAAATGTTCCTTCAGAGTTAAATTTAGGGATATTAAATTGGTAAAACGAAACCGAAATTTCAGCACGCCAACATTTCATACCGTTTACCGAACTGAATATACGATTTGGTTCGATAAATAACTGAATTACATAAATTTTATGTAAAAATATTTAAAAGAAGGGGTGTTGTAATTACCCAAAGAAGATGAGATTTTTTCGTAATTTAATCATACTTCAGGAGTGACCGCAATTTATCCTTAAGGAATTTTATTTCGCAATACAACTACTTTTTTGATGTATGGGTCGGGTCAGACTTCATATACAATATGAAGTAATGGGTTCAATCCCATCAAATTTCAAAACAAAAGGCCCAAATTAACTAATGAATAATGACAAATGTTCAAATATACCATAACCACTAATTCAGCCCAATGGCGATTAATAAAAATAAATAAAGAAATAAAGAAAAAGGATTTATGTGATGACGGCTGACTGCTGAGACTAGGGGCGTAAACGAGTTGAGTTTGGCTATTTTGGCGGGCTCAAGTCCATTTTTAACGAGAGCTTTGGGTGTTGGAGCATCTTTTACAGCACCTTGTTTTCGTTTGATTTTCTCACTACATAATTGAGTCTGTTGTTTGTATTCAATACTCGTTGAATACTTGTCTTTTGTCTCCACTTCTCGAATTCCGTTAGATATAGATCGTCATTGGTTCTAGGATTTCTTGTACGAAGAAATCGACTTGTGATTTCTTCGTAAAGGGAAGATCTTAACTGCATTGTACGAAGAAATCAAACTTCAATTTTTTTTTTTCCAGATTATGGCTTAACTGCTTAATACATTTTATTTTAAGAGAAGAAAAAAATAATGAGTTAATTGCATAGAACCCCCTGTGAAATCTTGAATGGTTAAAAAACCCCTCATATTAAAAATATTAGCATAGACCCCCCTATATTATTTTTGACAAAGCACACTGGACCTTATTTCGAAATTAGCAGTTGACTTTTATGAAATGACTAAAGTAACCCTCATCTTTTTTAATAGTTTATATTTCAATTAAATAAATAAAATACAAAAACAAAAAAAAAAAAAAAAAAAAAAAGAAAATTCACCCAGCCCATCGTCTTCATCCCGCAACCAATTCTTCCATAAGCCCTCCGCTGCATCACCACCACGGCCGCATCACCACCACCACGTCCGCACCACTGCCGCAACCCAATTCTTCCATCGAGCCCTCCGCCGCCGCATCACCACCACCACCGCCGCATCACCACCACCACGGCCGCACCACCGCTGCATCACCACCACCACGTCCGCACCACCGCCGCATCACCAACACCACGGCCGCACCACCACCGCCGCATCCCCACCTGCCTTCCCACCCCAAAAGAAAATATGCTTTATGTTTGATGGGTCTTTCGTATCTCTTGTAAATCAAGATGTTGGATCGAGTTACGTTTTGTGTGTGTGTGTATTGCACTGGGGCTGTGTTTTTTGTTCTTGAAGTGCTTTTTTCTTCCGGCGGGTTTAGATGGAGGAAGCAACTTTTGTTGTTTTTTCTTCTTTTGCAAATGGCAGGTTATGAAGATGAATCGGTGATTTTTGTTTGTTTGTTTATTTTTTTTTTTTTATTTTTTTTTTATTTGGCGTGCAGCAGATCTGAAGGAGAGGGGAAGAAGATGATGAAGTTTTGAGAAATTAAATTGCAATTTGGTTCTATGCAATTTGGCGAGAGGGCTTTTCTGAAATTAGTGGGGATTGAATTGAAAATTCTGAAAACTTCATTTTAAGCTTATGAAAAATATTTTGGGTAAATTTATAAATTTCAAAAATTGATTTAAAGGGTAGGTCTTTCTAGTTCCTAAACACGAGGCCCAGTCGCACAAAGCGCGAGTGTATAACACATCGAGCTCGTAGGGTCTTTTTTGGCTTTGACTATTTTTCACAGGGGGTTTTGTGCTAATATTTTTAACACGAGGGGTTTTTTAGCAATTCGAGATTACACAGGGGTGGTTTTTGCAAAAAACCCAAAAAATAATATATATAAAAGTCGATGACGAATACCAAACAAAATATAAACGGTTATATTTGTTTGGGATGTGCAACTTTCTACTTTTAAACCGTTTTTTCAGTTTTCATTTTGTATTCTACATAACTAAAAGTATAAATATATACATACATAGATACATACATATAATCATAGTAAGAACAGAAAACAAATGATGTTAACAACTTATGATTGAAGTAAAGATAGAGATGAGTTTGACTTTTCATCCCTTATTTATTGGTCTTAGAATGAACTACGTATGTTGTACCAAAACCAATTACAAAAGGTATAATAAATTACTAATCATTTGTTTGAGCTTAGTTACTTAAACGTAACAAACTAAATATTTAAATATTTTCGTTCGAAAAGATATGAAATTCTGTTCGAGCTTGATTAAAAAATAATAAATAATAACAAGAATAGGTATAAATATTAGGTTACTCGAGCTGGATTTGATTAAAGTTCGTTCGAACTTGACTAGATTGTTTATGAACCAAACTCGATTTGCTTACACTTGTAACTAAGTGAAAAATCAAACCCGTTCCTATCGGTATGTTTTCACTGATGTATATGAATTTGGTTGAAATTTGGAACTTTCATCTTAGAATCGTTTCGGCTCAAATTCGACTTATTTGGTTTTTTATTTCTTGAAAAAAATATACGTGTATAAATATACATTTCACACTTGATCTACTCGTTATGTATGAATATAATTTTAATATATTGTAACATATCTTGAGTTCAAGCAAACTCAGAAACCGAAATATGAAAATGAGATCACACATACAAATGCACGTATGGGTATAACTCAATCGGTTCTGAGGATGGTAAATTGGTGCAATGTCCTACGATCGAGTAGCGGCAGCCGACAACCACAGTGTGGATCAATATAAATGAGATTGCACATAAAAATGAACGCATGAGTATAGCTCAATTGATTACGAGGATAATAAATTATTGCAAAATCCTAGGATCGAGTATTAACAGTCAATAGACGCAGTGTGAAAATTTAACCACTAATAAGAATCGGTTACTTGAATTTTTTTTAATTAATTAATGCAATCACAAATTCAATATTGAAAAATCACAAGAAATTTTCCTTTTAGCAAAGTGACTACCAAAACTATAATTAACATTGTCCCAATCCCATAATCATGAAAGTCAATTGTTCCCACAATCCATGAAAATCTCAAATCAAACAAAATTATTATTAATTATATTATTAATATTTTATTACAATAAAAAGAACATGAAGAAAGTAGTTTCACTCTTACAATAATAAACTAAGAAAAAAATCCCATTAAGCAAAAAAAAAAAATCTTCTGGTTTTCTCCGTCTTCTTCCAAAGGTTTCTCCAGCCATGAAACCCCTCTCCAAAATCACCAAAACCCATCACGTACTACTTATTTTCTTGGCGATTTTCGCAATTTCCGCGAAGGTACAAGCATTTAAAGCACCGTTTCGCGCCAAGGACGTACTGCCGCTGCTTCCGCGGCAAGTTTCATGGCCTATTATGAAGACTCTCAACAACGCGGCGGACCTCATGCCGTCTTTCGTCGGAGCGGCCACCGCCGAGAACAATTCGATTCTGCAGTGGAAGGGCGCGTGCTTCTACAACAACACTGCTTGGTTGGAGTTTCACAATAACAGCGGGACTGAATTTGGGGGTGGTACTCTTCATATCCAGGTTGATTGGATTTTTGGCTTTGTTAATTTTTCAATTTAATCGCCGATTTTTTCTGTCAATTTGGGATTTATGGGTTTTCCTAAATTGAGGTTTTTTAGGGTTCCTAAATTGGGCTGTTTTAGGTTACTTGCTGAAGTAGAGTTGTGTTTAATTTAGGGATAGTGATTTTCTTTTTCTTTTTTTTTTCGATTTTTTTTCTTTCGATTTTTAGGTTACAAGTGCAATTTCTTCGATTTGGGAGAATCGAAGATGGGGTAGAATTTATTTGTCGAAACTATAAATTGGGTCTTTTGCAAGTAAGTTTCTTGAAATGTTTTAGCCAGGATCTGAAATTTTGGATACACGTAGGCATCGTCTTTTAGTTAAGTTCGTTTATTTATCGAAACTCTATATTGGGTCTTTTGCGGACAAGTTTCTTCAATTTTGTTACTAGGGGTCTGAAATTTTGGATGCAATTAGGCGTAATTGTTTAGTTTGATTTCGAGTTTATTAAAAACGATAATTGTGGTGAATGTCGAAAGATACGAAACTAAACTGTATCGGTTATGGCAAATGCAACCCGATTAAAAATCGCAGGTTAGCAAAGCACACAGTTGGACATGTATGGATATTTACGTATTTGCCACCCCGTTTCGCGTAACATGGGATTACTACATCCTCTCTCGAGAACACACCATCGAATTCAAAGAATGGGAATCCGAAGCCGAACTCGAATATGTAAGTCCCAAAAAATTCAGATTCGTACTTCACGTAATCTAGTCAAGACTTTTTCTCGTACCGAAATACACAATGATTAAATAAATAAATTAAATAAAATAAAATAAACAGGTGAAAAACAGAGGGGTTTCGGTTTTTCTCATGCAAGCAGGAATGTTGGGAACACTTCAAGCATTATGGGAGGTGTTCCCTTTATTTACGAATACGGGCTGGGGCGAAAATTCGAATATCGCGTTCTTGAAAAAGCACATGGGCGCTTCGTTTGAGGAAAGACCTCAGCCGTGGGTAACTAATATTACCGCTGACCAAATCCACTCTGGCGATTTTATTGCATTGTCGAAAATACGAGGTAGATGGGGTGGTTTCGAGACATTGGAAAAGTGGGTGACTGGAGCTTATGCAGGCCATACAGCTGTATGCTTGAGGGATGACAAAGGGAATCTTTGGGTTGCAGAATCGGGACATGAAAACGAGCAGGTGATTGTTTTTTTTTTTTCTTTTTTGTATTACAATTAATTTTCACTTTGATAATTTTACTTAGGTATATATGATCCAAGTATACTTTCTTGAAAATTGGAGGGTGTATATAGTAGCATGTATATATTAAAGTTTAGGGCAAATTACGGCCACCCCCCGAGGTATGGCCAAATTGCGAAAAAGCCCCTCTTGTTTGGATAATTCCAGCCACCCCCTCCTTTTAAATATTTTTACATAAAATTTATGTAATTCGGTTATTTACAGAACCAAATCGTATATTCAGTTCGGTTAACGGTATGAAATGTTGGCGTACCGAAATTTCGGTTTGGTTTTACCGATTTAACATCCCTAAATTTACCTCTAGAGGGGTATTTTCGTAAGATAATACATAGTTGAGGGGGGTGGCTGTAATTACCCAAACACGAGGGTTTTTTTTGTAATTTGACCATTACCTAAGGGGTTGGCCGTAATTTGCCCTTATGTATTCCACTTTTCAATTCCTAAACTTTTTGTTCGTTTTTTTAATTATTATTATTAGGGAGAAGATGTAATTGCAATTTTACCATGGGACGAGTGGTGGGAATTCGAGCTGACAAAAGACGACTCGAATCCGCACATAGCGTTACTTCCTCTGCACCCTGATATTCGAGCCAAGTTCAACGAAACCGCTGCATGGGAATACGCGAAAAGCATGGAGGGAAAACCCTACGGTTATCATAACTTAATATTTAGCTGGATCGACACCATTGATGGAAATTATCCGGAACCTCTTGATGCTCATTTGGTACTGCATTTTCTCGTCTTTTATATATATTTTTATTTTTATTATTATTATTATTATTATTATTATTATTATTATTATTATTATTATTATTATTATTATTATTATTATTATATCCTTTTACTTTTATGTTTTTTTTTCTTTCTATTTTTAATTAATTAGTTATTATTTACAGGTTGCTTCTGTAATGACGGTTTGGACTCAGATGCAGCCCGCGTACGCGGGTAACATGTGGAACGAAGCACTGAATAAACGGCTCGGAACCCAGGTTTTATTTTCCTTCCCTTTTCATTAATCGAACAATTAAACACACTTTTTGATCAATTTAATTAAATTCTTGAAAAAAAATAAGCTTAAATAATATTCCGTTAAATTTCATCACTGCAGAACTTTAGTCTTTCTCAAGTCCTAGTCGAAGTGGAGAAACGGGGATCATCTTTTGGTGCATTATTGGCTGCTCCGGAACAAGATAATTGGGTTTATGCCGACGGAAAATCAGCCTCGTGTGTCGTTTTCGTCTTCGAAATGTATAAAGAGGCTGGATTGTTCGGTAAACTTGGTTCTTCTATTCAGGCCTCTGAATTCACAGTAAGTAATACCAAAATATGTTCTTTTTTTCAGTCTTCATTCAAAAATTTTAATGAAAATAAAATTGGGTAAATTACAAATAAACCCCTCAGGTATGCGGTATACCTAAATTACAAGAATACCCCCTCTTGTTTGCTAAATTACACCCTTGAAAGTTCTAGGGGTAAGATTGGAATATTTGAAAGAATATTCTTAGAATCTAAAAGATTCTGTTAGAGTTGGCGCTGTAAGGAGGAAATTTGTTACACGGTGATATATACCTCAATGGGGTGATTGTTGTAACTTCACAAACAAGAGGGGTTTTTCCGTAATTTAGACATATCTCAGGGGCTGTTCATAATTTACCCAATAAAATAATATAAAAACCGTAAAACTCTGTTTTCATAGTCTTCGTTCAATTTGACGACGAAAAGAAATAGGGTATAAGAACTACAGATAAGCCCATGAGTTAAACCTAAATTACGAGAATCCCCTCTTGTTTGCGGAATTACACCCCTGAAAGTTCCAGGGGTAAGATTGGAATTTTTGAAAGTGATTTTAACTTCCTCAGGAGGTTATTGTAATTTCCATAATTTCTCAAACAAGAGGGGTTTTTTCGTAATTTAGGTGTACCTTAGGGGGTATTTCGTAATTTACCCAATAATATAAAAAAACGTAAAACTAGTTTTTAATTTTTCGTTCCAGATAAAAGATGCTTACTCTCTCAAGTTCTTTGAGAACAATGGTG